AATTGACAAAATGACCTTTTTTACATCTTTATTTTCTGTTTTTTGTCTGTACATTTGACAGCTTTGCTGCCTTGTTTTCAAGTAATTCTTTCTGTTATTCACTACATATTATTCATTTATGTAAGATCAAGGTATAAGTTGAACATAGTTTTACCATAGTACATTCTAACAAATTGTCCAGCTAGAGCCCCAATGTATGTGATGCAATATATCCTTTCCTTTTGGCTCCCTTTCCTCAATTATTGGTTGGCACAGGTTATTATTATTATAATTGTTGTTGTTAACATTATTATTACAGGTAGTGGCTCAGGCACCAGTGGAACTGGTTCTGGCACTGGCAACAGTGGTTCTGGAACAAACCCAGGTGGTGCAGAATCTGGCACAATCACCGATGGTACAGGATCTGGCACAAACCCAGGTGGTGCAGGATCTGGTACAATCACCGATGGTACAGGATCTGGCACAAACCCAGGTGGTGCAGGATCTGGTACAAACACTGGTGGCACAGGATCTGGCACAATCATTGGTGGTACAGGATCTGGCACAAACACCGGTGGTGTAGGATCTGGCACAATCACTGGTGGTACAGGATCTGGCATAAACACTGGTGGTACAGGATCAAGCATTACTGGTGGTGGATCAGGATCCATAATCAATGGTCAAAGTGAGCATTGCATTTTTATTGGAATTTTTCTATTTCAATATTAAAATAAGAATGAATAGTATAAAGGATACTGGCTGAAGTATATCCTAATCTTTGAAAGTGTGAGTTTTTAAAAAAAATTTCAATATAAAAACTGTGATTAACAGAGTTTACGTAGGTTATTTCACAAACCAGGCAATAATTGTCAGCTGCATTCTTTTAAGCTGATTTTTGATTTTTTTGCTTCTTTTAAGGTGGCTACTGTTTATACAGTGGAATTCAGTACACACAGGGACAAACGTGGCGTGATAAGTGCTTATACTCTTGTACCTGTACAAACGCACTGACAGGAAACTACAATTGTCATACATTGTAAGTATGGATCAAGGCAGTTTTAAAAAGATTTTTGGTCATGTTTATGATACAATAAAATAACCTGAATTGTATTTTTCCATTGCCAAATGTAAAAAGTAAAAGAAGATACATGTATTAGTCCATGAATTTTATGCTTCATGGAATTTTTAGTGTCAAATAAAATTTAAGATACATAAAAAACAGGACTACAGAGGATTTGTTGAGAAAGTTGTACTTTCTTCAAGATTGAAAAAGCATGCAAGTGTCATCAGTATTTATTTCGCAGAACTTGAAATTTTAATTGTAAGAAATTAATCATCCAAATGAAGCACTGTACAAAACAACATTGGAAATTGTTTCATGTTATTTATCAATTCACTTGTCCATTCTTTGTTTTAGATGTCCCCAATGGCAGCTACCATCAGTCTGCTCCCTGAGGCAAGCACCTGCCGGCAAGTGTTGTCCAATCCCATCCTGTCCATCCTACATAACCATCACCTACCCCGAGGGGCTAACAGAGGCCACACTGCCATAATTATTGACCATTACAGTGATAAACAGGACTGACCAATGGACATTGTTATATTGACCTCAGACCAGTGATATTTATAGGACATATTTACAAAGATATCTTTGCGCAGAGAGAAAAAATTTACAAAAAAAAAAAAAAAAAGGATTTTGCATTTAAATAACAAAAAGTATTAGGACATTTAGAATTAAGCAGCTGACCTATTGATATTTTGTAAAAAAGTTTAAAAAGACTTGGCAATGCATATTCCATTTTGTGGTAGTTCTTCAGCTGATTTGAAATGTCACTTTTGTTATTTGTAATGTCAGTTTTAGATTTGTTCCTGAATAAATGTATAGCACAGCAAAACAGCATTTCTTATTTTCATTGAAAGACTGCTTAATCGTCTAGCACATTTTTTTTTCAGGAAGGATAAAAAAAAGCAATTTTTTTTTCATTTGAATTTAACAATTAGGGGTAATCATTAGCATTGTTACTAAAGTCATATCAAAATGAAATATTAAAAGATTTGTGTGGGAATTTTAGTTTTATTATGTTTATGGCATAAGTTGGATCTGACCTCATGGGCGAAATCCACATGATTCCATTGTTGTGCCCGAAACCGCTATTAGATCCAAGTCCACTGCAGAAGTAGTCGGCCGTGCTGCTTTATCCACAGAGGCTTCCTCAAAGGTTGTCTTCCATAACCTAATCGGAGTTTTATTTTATTATCCGAAATTTTCATAATGAAATTTATCAGTACGGTGCACGCATGTTTTTATTTCAATTCAATTATTTTAATACTAGTACTTAGTCGATTTGATAGTTTATCTATTCACCTTTCTTCAATTCTATTCTATTCTAATAATTATTTGATCATTACATTTTACATTATAGTAGACTGGTGTAGTATTTTAAGGTCGTTTTACATGGTTTTTAGCTTCATATGATTAACAGGTCAAAAATGACAGTTGACCGTGAGCAGACTCCACATGAGTTTTGGCCGGAGATGAAAATTCTATCAGTCCAACGTGGGTTCCCGATGGAGAAATCTTCGATTGTAGATCAATCACATCCACTTGTGCCTGTGTTTTGAAAAAACGTTGATAAGACGGTAAGGGCTGATAGTTTGATTTGCTTTCTAAATGTACAGTCGCAATGTAGGTGATGCATATATCAGATATAGACACTTTGGTTGGAAAGGGCAAATGTATAGGTTTACCGTAGTTCCCCCGAATTTCACTGAAGTTCTATAATTAGCACAAAAAATTCTCGATTAGATTGGATCGCGGTTATTCTTAAAGGGAAACCGACATTTAATATTAATTTTACTGAAATTTCCTTCAACATCTGGACACTGACAAACATAATTCCGTAGCTTTCGTTGTGATGTTCGATGTGCAAATTCCATACATCTTATTCCTTCATGCATGTTGTATCTTTTGATGGAAAAATTCTAATTCCACGTTAACGCCTCACCTAGTATTGATTTTCAATGATGTTCTTGCATAAATAAAATTGAAGTGTTTAATTTTTTTTATTATTTAACAAATTATCAATTAGTTAATTTATACGTTTATTTATTTACATACCTCATATGGACGCACCCTCCCTAAACTTTCGCTAAAACCAACGTTTGACAGCTATTACATGTAGACCGCTTTGAGACTATTACTATTGTTCCCAGTGGTCCAGATACCAAGAAGTGATATTTCCTTGTATGTTTACCTACATCTGCATTCGCTTGGATACCAAATAGCGGAGTGTCACTCAAGGCCAATAAAGATACTACGTAGAATGGTAATATTCAGGAGGGACCACATAAACCTAACAGAAGACTAAAAAGATATATCCCTGTTTGAGGTTAGGTAAGGCCTGGACAAAATTGATGTAATTTTGCCCATGGGTAAAGGTATGCCAGAAAAAGGGGCATCAGTATTTGCATATGTGCGGAAGACCGCTTTATCACCCTTTTTAGGAAATTACAAGGAAACATCCGAAATGCTTAGGGATATATACTCTTAATTTCAGTGCGCATGCGTTGGGCTGTTTCCAAAACAAGTCGTCCGGTAAATGTGACGTAAATCTGAACAGTGGTACCTTATGAAGGTCTCCCTGGAATACCTGTAAACTGACCAATGACAGAGAGATTTTTAGTCGGGTCACCGACCTGCTGACTCTCTGTGTGCGTAGGCTGAATGAAATGATATGTAACGTCAAGATTGCATGACGAGTTATCAGAGATGCCAGAATAATGAACATTCAAACTGTAAGTTGAAAAGTACAGACAGAGATTCCTTTGAAAAGATGGGACGGTGAAGACGGCAGTGATACCGAGGATATAAGACATTTGATTTACTTGTATGGAAGATGTTTGCGTCCAAGACATTTCGAGCTGATGCCATTTGATCTGGGGAATAAAACGGATGATAAATCTTGATGCAACAGGGAGCAAACTACCACGTGGCCACTGTGGAAAAAGATGGCCATTTCCACCAGGTTGGGAACAGTTAACCTTTGTCTTTTGCTTTTTGTACGGAAAATGACACTTTGTGGAATGTTGAAGGTTGAGATTGAAGTGGAGGGGCTTACAACGAACGCGGTAGTAGCATAATGTTGATGTTGTTCAGTAAATGGAAGACAGGCGTATTTATGATAGTCAGGATATGCGTCACCAAGAAACCAGGGATAAATAGACTTGTGATTGACTTACATGTAAGTGAAACTATTATTGTCATGAAACAAAATTATTCAACTTAGTCATTACTACCGTCAAAGCAGCCTCAATGTTTGTCTTAATCAATTGCTCCACATGCCTTCATATGACTAGGTTCATATCATATAGTACATAGCAGTAAATGCATTCTTGTTGAGAAAAACATCGCTGTTATCTGCATTGGTTTATATAATTGTAATGTGAATAAATTTGTTACAAATTCAACTCTTTCATCGTCTGTATTTACCACACGTGGTCGACTTGTCGTCGTAATGTAAAATTGCTTTATTTATTTTACCCAAAAATGCCTCCAAATTTTGAATAAGAAATTGCGTTGAATCTATCATTCAGAGGTTACATAAAATTTACCGAATCTCTTGGTTTGAATAGTTGTAACCTCATAAAATAGAAAAAGTAATTCGTAGCTATATTTGTACCTTTAAAATATTTTCTTAAAACTGTTTAACTATGTTGCATTGCTAATTTCAGTTAAGATCGGTATTGATTGAAATCGGATAAAACAAAACATATCTTTTAATCCCGCCTCATTATTTTTTTAATGAATTTTGCCCAAAAGTTTGGTTTATAACCATACATTGGAATCGAATAGAACAAAACAATCGAATGTTGCCTAATAAATTTCTGATATTTTTTTTCCAAAAAGTCAAATCTGCGCAGACAAAAAATAAAACACGTAGGGCAAAAATTTGGGTGGGTTACCGGGTGAGAACCGCCGGCATGTCAGATCTGAAGTTACAGGATTGATTCCTAAATACGGTAAATTTGTGTTTAAAAAAAAGAGAATTCGTACCATAACTATAAAGGCGAGAAACAAAGTTTAGGGTGGGTGGTTGGGTGAACAGAGCAACTGGTAACGTTGCTGACTGTGAACCAGAAGGTTACAGGATCGATTCCTAAACACGACACATTTTTGTAAAATTAAAAAAAAAGAGTATTAGTCCCATAACTATAAAGGGAAGATGCAAAGTTTAGGGTGGGTGGTTGGGTGAATAGAGCAACTGGTAACGTTGCAGACTGTAGACCAGAAGGTTACAGGATCGATTCCCATGGAACATTCATTTTGTAGAAAAAAGAATTGGACTGCATTTACTATAAAGTTTTGTTTAAAATAGCACGGAATTCTTTGGGGCCAATGGCTCAGTTGGTACCACCTCTGATTCTAAAGTTATAGAAAAAAAGAATAGGAGATCGAAATGGACTAAGTCAGATGAAACTTTTGTTATTTAAATTTTAGTAAGACCAGCACTAGAGAGAAAAATATGAAATCTTTATAATTAAACAATGAAGACGTTGAAAGTTATGAACAGGCTTTATTCGTTAAACTTCAGTGATATTAACGCACAGCTCAAAATATACAATATCAAGGAAATAGCATTTAATGTGTTACTACAAAGTACGACAAGCCAAA